GAAAATCAATGCATTTGAGATAATGTGGTGATGGAGAAGAGTGCTGAGAACATGGACAGCCAAAAGATCAAACAAATGAGTCCTAGACAGATCAAGCCAGAGATATCCCTAGAAGCCAAGATAACAAGAATTAGACTGTCATACTTTGGACACATCATGAGAAGGCATGAATTGTTGGAAAAGACAATAATGGGCCTGTACAGACTGCCAGAAATAATGTAGCTTGAGGACACTTTAAGTGCCCTGCCTCAGTGCTAGAGAATCATGGGAACTGTAGTATTTTCTAAGAGATTGAGCCTTCTCTGTCAGAGAGCTCTGGTGCCACAATATAAGTGGCTTCAAGCTGCATTATTTCTGGCAGTCTGTGTGTCTTAAATATTAGGAAATATGGAGGGAAGTAGAAAGAGAGGAAGGCCACATGCTAGATGGATGGACTTTATTAAAGAGACCATGAATATGAGTTTGCAGGAGCTGGGCAGAGCAGCAGAGGACAGGGGGGCTTGGAGAGGGTCGCCATGGGTTGAGATCGACGTAAAGTCATTTAACAACAACAAGTCCAGTGCTGAAACCACACCATGCTGGCTCTCTGTAACTCCTTTAGTTATTATTTGAAACATATACCCTGTATTCACTGTATTCAAAGAAGTAATGGATGCAGAAAGGAGAATTAATTTCTCAATCACAGACCTCTAGTTTCCACACCCTGCATGACCAGTTTAAATACCTTCCTCTTCAAATACCTTTCCCACTTAAAGGAACAAGGTACTCAAGGCATTAAAAGCACTCTCATCTTTCAGTGATCAGATGTAAGAATAGGACTTCCCTGCTAAGCACTGAAAGTCATTGTGGCAGGAGTTACTTTTGATTGGGCTTGCCTAAAATTGAGCTATAATTGACATGCCTGAAAGCTTTTCCATTGGTGTCTACATCTGTGCAAGACATGCAAAACAAAATGTATGTGAGAAAAGTGGGTGGAGATTGCAGGTAGATACCGAGTTGTGAGTTGGGTTTCTTTGGTTTTAGCCATCAAATCAGTATAGAAGAACTGGGTTTAGGTGTACATCTGGGTCGTTTATGTACATCTAGGCTCTGTTTGAAGACCCTAGCCCACAACTTGCTGTGAGAGGATTTGGGGTGAAGGACAGTGAGCTCTCTCTGTTATGAATATTTGCTGCATTCATTAATCATCAATAGGAATTTTCTGAAGGGACTGAACCATGATTTTTTTCACATGGAGAAACATGAATTCATCCCCTACTGAGCTATGGCATTTCTCTAGTTATTAAATTAGTACCACATATAGCTTGAAAGACAGACAGCCTGCCATAGTGGTTAGAGTGTTGGACTATGACTCTGGAGACCTGGGTTCAATTCCCAGCTCAGCCAACAAACCCCCAAATCAATAGGTTTGATTCTAAGCCATGAAATCCACTGGGTGATCTTGGGCAAGTCACATGCTCTCAGCC